AGCAGAGAAACTGAAGCCCTGGCTCCTGTCCTGCCATGGCTGCATGGTAGAGTTCCATCCTCCAGGCAGACACTGCACCTGCCCGGCTGCTCACGGCCCCATTTAGCACTGACTTTCCCATTCAGCCCCCTTCCCTTGATCCCTCTGTCCCCCCTGCCTTGGGCCACATGTGGCCCTCACACCCTGCTCCTCTCCCCCTGGTATACCTTCTGTCTTTGAGCCTCTTGGGAGGGTGTGTCTGTGCCTGTCTGAGCCCTGAAGGGGCGTTGCCTCCTCCCCCTGCAGGAGACTACTGGATCGACCCCAACCAGGGCTGCACCTTGGACGCCATGAAGGTTTTCTGCAACATGGAGACTGGCGAGACCTGCGTCTACCCCAACCCAGCGAACGTTCCCAAGAAGAACTGGTGGAGCAGCAAGAGCAAAGACAAGAAACATATCTGGTTTGGAGAAACCATCAACGGTGGCTTCCACGTGAGTGCCTGCTTGCTCTTGGCCAGAGAGCTCTTCTCTCTCCCTGGAAGTTTTTAGCACCGTGCGCACATTCTCACCAGTTTTCTCTGGGGCCACAAGGAAGGAAGGAGGAGGAATAGCATTTTCTCCCATTTAGAGGTGGAGGATGAGGTCTTTGGAGGCTTGCTCTACACCCTGGAAGCAAAACCATCCTCCCTTGACCTGCTCCCCCAACCCCCTTCAGCTCCTCTGAACCCTGGGCCCTGGAGCCCCTGGTCCCATTGAAGGTCACCCCCAGGCCTCACACCACTGCTCTCTGCCCTAACAGTTCAGCTACGGGGATGACAACCTGGCTCCCAACACTGCCAACGTCCAGATGACCTTCCTGCGCCTGCTGTCCACTGAAGGCTCCCAGAACATCACTTACCACTGCAAGAACAGCATAGCCTACCTGGACGAAGCAGCTGGCAACCTCAAGAAAGCCCTGCTCATCCAGGGTTCCAATGATGTGGAGATCCGGGCTGAGGGCAACAGCAGGTTCACGTATACGGTGCTGAAGGATGGCTGCACGGTGAGTCGGCTGCTGGAGCTGCTAGAGACATGAGCTGCCCAGGGCCCAGGATTCAGGCTGAGCGGGCGGAGGGTTGGCCCCCAGCAGATGTCATGGTCCTAAAGTGAGGGACTCATCAGAGGTGTGTGCCATGTAGAGAAGACATGCAGAGTGACAGGTGGGGGAGAGGTATATGCTGTTCTCCTTGGCTCAAGGGAAATAAGACCTTACCCAGTGTGTCCAAAGACTCTTGTAGGAGGATTCCTGTAATGTTCATGGGCTGACTATGAGATGGAATGACAAGGGGGTCACAGGCGGGGAGCTCACTGCGGGGAGTGGGAAGGAGGAGAAGGGAGGCCCTGCTGGGAAGGACAGGAGTAGAGGTGGAGAGGGTTCTGGCCAGCCAAGAAGAGGTCTAAGGAGCACCAAGTGTGTTTTTCACTTTGTGTTCTGTGATGCTCGGTGTTGGGGTCCTGGGCAGCTGGCATTGGATTTCAAGGTATCACTGAATAGTGTCTCCTCTCTTTCTTCTCCAGAAACACACCGGTAAGTGGGGCAAGACTATGATCGAGTACCGGTCACAGAAGACCTCGCGCCTCCCCATCATTGACATTGCACCCATGGACATAGGAGGGCCTGAGCAGGAATTTGGTGTGGACATAGGGCCTGTCTGCTTCTTGTAAAAACCCGAACCCAGAAACAACACAATCCATTGCAAACCCAAAGGACCCAAGTACTTTCCAACCCCAGTCACTCTAGGACTCTGCACTGAATGGCCGACCTGACCTGATGTCCATTCATCCCACCCTTTCACAGTTTGGATTTTCTCCCCTCTCTTTCTAAGAGACCTGAACTGGGCAGACTGCAAAATAAAATCTCGGTGTTCTATTTATTTATTGTCTTCCTGTAAGACCTTTGGGTCAAAGCAGAGACAGGAAACTAACTGGTGAGAGTCAAACGCCCCCTGAGTGACTGCCCCCCAGCCCAGGCAAGAAGACCCACTTCGGGTGCCGGGCACAGGAACTGTGTGTCCTACACAATGGTGCTATTCTGTGTCAAACACCTCTGTATTTTTTAAAACATCGATTGATATTAAAAACAAAAAAAATTATTGGAAAGTATGTATGGACTCGAGCTTTGTTCTTTATTTCCCATTAGTCTTTGTTCTCCAGGCGTGACCAGATGGCCATCTGAAGGCTTTCTTTTGTTGACTTTTCAACCAAAGGGCGGGCACTGAGGCCACACTGCCTGGTTTAGTGACCTCACATGAACACAGACTTGCCTCTTTTTGTCAACCTTGGCACTGTGTGGAACCCAGGGGTGAACTGGGGCTAGAGACCAAGATTTGGGAAGGGAGGGACAAAGGAGGGATGACAGTAAACACGGCACAGGACTCTGCGTAGATTAGTGCAAGGGAAATGATATGCTCCGAGCTCAGAGGATGGGACAATGTGTGGGCTACATCTTGCTGGGCGGGCGAGGTTGAAGATGCTCCTGAGGGAGGAGGGGGTGTGGAGAGTGGGGAAGGAGAGGGGAGGGAATCTTTGGGAGGCCCATGCTAAGGACACACAATCAGGCAATCTTGGTGACCTACTTATTTATGTCTTTTTCTAAGACTTTTAGATCAAGGAGAGGTGGGAGTGTTGAACACTTAACCCACCCCTATTCCTCTTTCCCGCCCCTGTACCTCTGTCCCCCCATTCTATACTTCCTGGACCTACATTTAAAGCTTCTCTGCACTTCCTCCCAACAGCGGGCTTATGAACAGACAGCCTCTCATCTCTCCTTACCATCAGGTGTCCCTTGCTTTCCAATGACTTGTGTATGTGGCAAAAATGAGGAAGCTGACACCTTCTCCACTAGAGAGGGCTAGTTCATAATTTAGAATAAACAACCCTTCCATCTATCAAGAGAGCTAATGGGAGCCAAGGGGAGAGCAGTGAGGTGTACAGATGCTTATTAAA